CTTTTTTTGCTGAGTCTTGTTTTGTTTCAGGGCCACTTGTAAGTAGACACTGGTATAGATTATTGGGCTTATGTCTTTGGCATTAGGAAGGATTTTCTTGTGTGAAACTCATAGTTAAAACATGTAAACATTTCATTTTTGAGCTTATAGATATGAACAAGATAGCAACATTATCAGCTGCTTGCGGAGGTAACACCTGTAAAATATAGGACTCTATTAATATCAGGATTTAGACAAGTCTACGGATGGCTTTATTGAGATATTAGGCTTTATTAGTGTAATTTGTTACATTTTTTGGTACCATTGATCCTGCTGGCAGTCTCATGAAATCAATGCAGTTCTTCTCAGAATAATATTTTTAAATTTAATAAAATGTTAAGATTACAAAGAGAAGAAATTCTATTGACTTATAGTTGTTAAAAACTAATAAAGTCACGATGAAGCAATATATATATGCTTCTAAACTAGTATAATAAATATTAATATTTAGCAGTAGGCCTAATAACTACTGTTATTTATGAATATGTGAATAAACAGTATTTAGTTATTATCTAACACTGGAGTAGACTATAAAAATATCTGAGATTTCTGTTAGTCATAGGTACTGCTATTACTACCTTGGTTTAACTATATCCATACTTGAAGGGAAATGCTGAAGGTCAGTTAGGGGAGTGAAAACAAGATAAGCTTTTTTTCCATTCAAATTCCCTGACACTGTGAATTCTTTTTATGTATTTGTATCAGGTTAAGAGCCCCAACCTAAAAGAGTATCAAAAGGTCATAGATCCCTGAAATATTTTGTTATTAACTACTGTTGTTGTGACATGTAGTAATTCATAGAGCAATTTGTCTGTTTTTTCAAATAGCTAGAATTTGTCATTTTATAGGACACCAGCATTTCTTTCAGCCTCATGATTATAAAGAAACCCTGAAATAGCATCAGTTCATCATTTTAAATAAGATGATCATTTTTTTAAAAATGTATTTTATTTTTAGAACATTTTTGGGTTTACAGAAAATCTGAGAAGATATTTCAGAGAGTCCCATATACTGTACAGCCAATTTCCCCATTAGTAACATCTTACATTATTTTACACTTGTTATAAGACATATATCAATATTACTATATTATTATTGACTAAAGTTCGTTATTTTTTCAGCTTTCCTGAATTTTTGTCTATTGTCCCTGGAAAAGGTTCTTTTCCAGGATCTTATCCGGGAGATGACATTACATTTAGTTGTTAATGTCTTTTTAGGTTCCTCTTGGGTGTTAGAGTTACTCAGACTTTCCTTGTTTTTCATGACCTTGACAATTTCAAGGACTACTGGTCAGACATATTGTAGATAGACCCTCGGTTGGATTTTGTCTCCTGTTTTGCTAATGACTAGACTGGTGTTACTGGTTGAGGCAGTAAGATCACAAAGGGAAAGTGCTGTTCTCATCACATCATATCACGAGCATATGCTTTTATAGGCTCATCACTGTCAATATTAACCTTGATCCCCTGGCTCAAGTGGTTTTTGTTATATTTTCCACTGTAAAGTTAATCCCCATCTTCCCATACTGTCCTCCTTGGAAGGAAGTTACTGTGTGCAATCTTTGCTTGAGAAGTGGGGAGTTATGCTCTCCATACTTGAGGGTGGAGTATCTATAAATTATTTGGAGTTTTTCTGCATGATATTTATGTCTTCTCCCTCACTTATTAATTTTTCCACCATTTATTTATATCAGTATGAACCCAGGGATATTATTTATTTTATACACTGGGTTATAATCCAATACTCCTTTATTTTGTTGCTCACATTGTTCCAGCTTTGGATGTTGGGAGCTCTTCCAGTGGGCTCCTGTGCCTCTTTGACATATCCTAGTCAATTGGATGATGTAGAAAGAGGTATTAGAAACCAAGGTCTGTGTGCTGGGTGTGCTCATTGCTACTTGGGTGCCATTTGATTTTACTGCCTTTTTACCTGATAGAACAAGGGAATATGTATATACTAACTAGAGTGTATATGCATATCTATAGACATTTCTATATGTAACTATCCATATCTATATTAAGCTAAACATCATTTCTTACTGATGTCTGTAATTCTAATCTATTACTACATGGATTATTTTAGCTTCCTGTCCTTGTGTATCTGTAAATTGTCAGCCAACAGTGGTAACTTGACTTCCACCATTCTTCATCCATTTGTCTAGTTATTCAATTCATGTATACCAGGATCAGAGTTGTTAATCCATATTCCCATCAGAACCAACTTTATCAGCTAGAATACAGTGCTTACATGTAGTTCCCTTTGCCTTTGGTCTTACAGACTCCACTGATTTCAAAGTAGGTCATCACCTTTTCCCTATCCCTTCAGTGAGGTATTTTCTTCCTAGGATCTCCCAAACTCCTAAATGATTTTTTTTAATTTGCAAAAAATAAGATTTATTCTTTGTGCTTTCAAATTCCATGGGTTTTGACAAATGCTTCTTATTATGTATCTACCATTATAGTTTCATACATAATATTTTTCAAACTTAATATCCAGTGTTCTCAAAAGCCCTGTGCTTCATCCTATTCGTCCCTTGCTCCTCTGAGACTCCCTGGCAAGCACTGATCTTTTTTCCTCTCTGTATAGTTTCATCTTTTCCAGAATGTCATGTAATTGGAATCATACAGTATATAGCCTTTTCATACTGTCTTCTTTCATTAAGCAATTATACATTTAAGGTTTCTCCATGTCTTTTTATACCTTAATGACTCATTTCTTTTTATTGTTGAATAACATTCAATTATATGGATATATCATAGTTCATTTATCTACTTACCTATTGAAGAACATCTTTCCTACATCAGTTTTTTGCAATTATGAATAAAGCTGTTATAAACATTCCCTTGCAGGAGTTTGCATGGACATAGTTTTCAAATTAGTTGGGACTCAGCAACTTCATTACAGGGAGTATAATTAGAAGAAATAAGTGTGTATTTATACCATAAAACATGTATGAAAGTGCTCATAACAACATTATATTTAGTCACCAAACACTGAGTACAATCTATCAATAAAATGGATAAATTATTTTAGACACCTTTGCACTTTCTCTTATTTCTCAATATGCCAATTTTCTTGGCATATTAGATTTTGAGCCTGGAAGATTTATGATACTATTAGCAAATCTATACATAAATATACTTTATTTACTGTAAGTAAATCATACTATTTACTTTTTTGAAATGTTTTTGGGTCTGCTCTCTTCCCTTCAGTTTCCACAGCTACCACTTGAGTTCAGGCCTCTTGAGTTCAGGCCATTGTTGCCTCATTCTGGAACTCTTACATTGATCTGCTAGTTATTCTCCCTGTTTCCTGTGTTCCATATTCCACAAATACAATTTGTCCCATTTTCCCATGATAAATAACTTGAATTACTAATCTGATGCCTGTTACAACTTCTGCTTACAAGCCATGTCCATTCAAGAACTATGACTTAATCTTGCAAGTACCACCTTTGAGTTCACAATGTTGGAAGATAATCTCTGTACCCAAGGTAATCTGTTTGTCATTAACTATCCAGGTACCTGTTCCTTTCTGATCCTGTTGTTACATACCCCTGAGTTCCCTTTCTACACTGTCATAACCTGCAAAATATGATTCAATATCATCATCTTTTTTCCTGAATAAATTTTTTATGCCATTTTGAGGTCTCCACTATTTTGAATCCCCTCAGTTCTTTGCATTTGGTTTAAAAAAAGACTATTTAGGCCAAATATTGTTGTCCTTAAGATATTTCATATTTGTAGGCTTTATAAGTTTTATTGTATTTATGCCTACTTTATTTTGTGTAAGACACAATGAATGTTAAGAAAATGCTGTAAATAATAAAAAATTTAAAAATAATAAGACGAATAGCAGTCATCACACAGTTTGCTTCTTGAATCAGAAAGTTGGCATCAGTATGTACAAAAGTATTTATATAATATTAAGATCCATAAATACAGATCTTAATACAGAAAGTACCTTCTTATTTCATGTAACGCTTATCTGCATAACAGGGTCACCTTTAATAGTGTCCTTACACAAAAACCATGCCAGCTTCTACAAACACAGGTGTTAAACACAGATGCTTAGACCCATCCTATTTTTTATTTTAAACCTGCTCAAACCGAACCTCACTTCTGCTGTTACTCTCACTCGTCTTTTACCTTGTCTCTCTAGTTTGACTGCTGTCCTTCTTTCTCATTATGGAATCCCTTTATTAACTAACAGTCTTTGTCTCCTTCCAGTGAGTGTTCTGATTGGCATAGCCCCAGTACTTCCTAACCTTGGGTGGGTCTTCACAGATAGTGCCAACTAGACTGGTTTTGTCCATTTTGTGGGCTTCAGAGACATATATATACACACACACACACACACACATCCTACTGATTATTTTACATATGTATAATATTTATATATTTTATATAAATATAAAATATATAAATATGTATATATTTATACATATATATCCTGTGCCACTTATGTGCTAACCTTTGCATTAAAATATGTGAGTTACATGTTTCCTTTTCCAATGTGTTATTACATTGCTCTTATAATTTAAAAAATATTCTAAACTTGAAGAGCAAGGAACACTCCTCAATACTCATCTAGAAATGTGGATTTATTAAATTGCATAAAGAGAATGTAACCTTCCTGAGGATAGGGACTTTATCTTATTTACTGCTATGACAGTATATCCTGGAATAGTACCAGATTCAGTAAATATTCATTAAGTGAATGAATGAATAGCTGAAGCATGTAAACATGATGGTGTTCATTTTATGGGAAAAAGCAGTCTTTTTTTTTTTAAAGACTTGGTTAACTTAGCAGTTGTTTTGATTTTTATTAACATGGTTTATTATACATTTGTTTTCTGTAGTCTTATCTCTAATAGGGTACATATTTTCTTAGGTAGTTACTGATACAGAAGTGTTATAAAGTCAGTCAGAGGCTTTCTTAACAATGACTTATGCTTTTAGAACCAGATGGTCAAAGAACTGGAGGCCCGTGTCCAGCAGTTGACTGGAGAAGCAGAGAACAGTAATTTACAGAGACAGAAATTAGTTCAAGAAAAACTGGAACTTGAAAGATGTTACCAGATAACATGTACTGAATTACAAGAAGTAAAAGCAAGGTATTGTCTTAAGTCAAATAGCTATTTGGTATGGCTACAAAGTACTGATACTAAGTCTAAAAATTATCTGCCAGAATTAATCACTCCTTGTGCATTTAACCTTGGGAGGTTTCCAACCTAAATACTGCCATTTGTTAATTTTTTAAAGTCCCATTTAAAATAAGAAACATAATGTTTAAAAACAGTTGATAAAAATACTGATACTTATTTGATAGAATGCATTAGGATTTGGTTGATTAAAAACTCCATTTTAGAGACTTATTCTAAATATATTAGAAGTGTATTTCATTCTCTTGTTTTTAGGCGCAACACACTGCATAAAGAGAAAGATCATCTTGTAAATGATTATGAGCAAAACATGAAACTATTACAAAGCAAATATGGTGCTGATATAAACCTTCTGAAAAAGGAACATGCTCTTTCAGCTTCTAAGGTATTGTATATGCTGGCAGATATAGCCATGCAAAGTAGTTATTTACTTATTCAGCATATGGCCACAGATAGCCATGTAGAAGCTAACTACTTGGCATTTGCAATTAGTCTCTCCTTTACTTTATTCTTAAAATAACTGAAACGTCAAGAATTTTTAGTGGTATTTAAAATACTGAAAATGCTAATTGTCTAATATATAGCATAACATAAATATTTAATAAACCAAATTCTGCTATAAATTAACCCTTCTAAGCACCAAAGTTTTTAATGGAGGAGACAAAAAATTTAAGAAATGCTCAGTTGTGCTAATAATACATCTTTTTAGAGTAACTACATACATTATTATTATTATTTTGAAATTTTGGTTATGCATTAGTTTTCCTGTCACCCTCATTGGTACCTACAAACTTTTTGTCAGATCACTGAAACGTTCTGCAAAGAGAATCCCATAGCTAAAATTCTAATGTAGTAAATTACTTGATATTTCATTAGTTAAATGTTCCTGTGGATTTGGTTTTATAATTTTTAAATGTTATCTGTAAACCTATTATTTTTACAGCAGTATTATATTTTCATAACTTTATAAATACTATGCAGAATTTAATTTTTATTTTAAAAACTTAATTTCTGAACTTTAAAAAATATTTTTCATTGAGATTTATAGATAAATTTGAATTCTGATTAAACCTTCAGGGTGAAAAAAAGTAAATTTACTTCAAGTTCTAGGATGGTGTGAAAGTCAATATTCTGTCTTTTATTATTATTATTAAAATCCTTTTAGGCATCTGCTATGATTAAAGAATTAGAACAGAACATCTGTCAATTAAAACAACAGTTACAAGAATTAGAACTTGAAAGAAAGCAACAACTAAGGGTGAGTCCTATATTGTCATACAGAAGAACAATGGCTAAAACTTACCTTTGCTTTTCTTGATTTATATGTACAAATGAGAGTCGATTAAAAAAAAAGTCCAGGTAGTCATTTCTGATTATTTTATTGAATTGCATCATTTTTTATGTTATTTATTTTAACAAAAGAAGATGCTAATGGCATTTGGAGAGTAAAGAACAATTATTTTAATTTGAATAACTGCCTTTTTGAGATTAGTGTAAAAAAGAAATCTTATTTAAATATATTGTTATTTTAAAATAATATCCTTCCTTTAAATTACTATCTACCAATCTTTGTAATATTTTGCACTCTCTCTCTCTCACCTTTTTAGATATTTCCTTTTCCCTTGTAGTCAAAAAATACTAAGAACTGGTAGATGATATAACTTTGAATTTATTATTCCCATATTGATTCAGTTGGTCATTTTTAAGTAATCTCCGAATCCTAAGGGCCAGAAAGTTTCTCTTCCACTGTAAAGTAGGGACTTTTGAGAGTAGTAACATCTTCAGAAAACTAAGGTTTTATGACCTCTAACATGAAACTACTCATATTTCTATTAGTCGTATAGAAAATTGGACAGGTAGGGCTCTTTTAATAATATGCGAAACAAGGCAAATTTGTCATCAAGTAGATTGATTTATTTTATGAGATTATGAATTTTATTGGCTGGTAGCAATATTAAATGTAATAAAAATGAGTATTTATCATTCACAGGATCAAGAAAATAAGTTTCAAATGGAGAAAAGTCATTTAAAATGCACCTATGAAAAAAAGGTAATATGATTTGTGGGACAGTATAACACATTTAAAATAGCAAAGGAGGCGGTTAAGAATGAGGGCTGATTTTTATTAAGCCATGCATTCTAGCCCTTAAAGAAAAATTTATTTCTAAAGTTTATTTCAACTAGCTAGTAATCAAATTTTGCTTCTTTATTTTTCATGTTCATAAACAGCTTCTTTATTAATTATATCAACATTAAAACATCATTCATAGGTCATATTTAATGAGTGAAGAATTGTTATATTAATCTCTTATAATAACACTTTGAAATTACATTTTCTTTCTACCAGTTTAAAAATATACAATTGATGAGAGTTATTTTTTAGTTTGTTGTATTGTATGCCTAATAAAAAATATAAATATTTAAAGCAAAGAATATAAAACAACGAAAGATTTATCTAATACTTAAAAATTGATTAGTTTTTGTTTCCTGTCACTTGGACTAGTGAATATATCTATTGATATATGCCAGTATCTCTGTTATCAGTAACAATTGGGGGTTAAGTGACACACTGTTAATACCTTCTGCAATAAAGTGCAGAGTTCTATTAGGTTTATGAATTTTGAAGTTCAGTTTTGAGTCATTTTCTGTATAACATGGGAAGTAAATGAATAGTTGAAATAGCAAAGATTTTGTTGCTGCTTTGTAATTATTTACCATTCTAACATTTACCAAATTGATCAACTTGTGAAATATACACATAATAGAAACTGAAAAAAAGGTTAACTCTTCAACAGTTACATACATATATATTAAACACAAAATTCTTAATTAAAACATTTTGTGACGTGACATCTTTATCCATATGGTCACTCAGCAGATATTTATTAAATGCTTTTATTGGCCAAGGAATCCTACTAGGTAGTAGGAGGGGAGAAGGGTTGAGGGTGAATCAGACATAGATTCTGCCCTCCAGGAGCTTAGGGTTTAGGAAGAAGAATGTTGTCATTTGGAAAAGTCAGTGTTTCTACTGGTATAAATTGTAATAAATTTTCTTTATTGCTGAAGATATTTTTTTGGCTGCCGTTTTAATACAGCTCAATGCAAGGTTTTAAATATGTTTCATGTCCACAAAATGGTATCTCAACAGGAGAGGGAAATATTGCTTTCACTGAAATAAAGAATTATATCAGTTTCTACTGTTGAGCCATGCAGCTTACCAAAAAGAACACCATACGTCATTGTAAGCCTTGCTCCCCACTGCATAAGGCCTCTGCATCCTCTGGGTGTACTTGTTAGTCCACACTTCATTCTTTGAGCAGATATCTGGCTTCCTGTCCATAAGGAACAGCTTCTTGGCCTCCCACTGTTACCTTCTGTGGTCGGCCCTCTTCCTGAGAGATGGGATCTGCATACCTGTGAGACAAAGAGAGGGTCTGGAGCAAGGAGAAAGATGCACACTGACTGATTTTAGATGAATGTACTCCTATCCCGAATTCCTTTAAGCCCAACTGAGGACTGTTAGATACAGAAATAGAGCTGGACAGATAGTCTTTCTTCTACCACTGTCTTCACTAGTTAGCCACTAAGTGAACTAAGATTTCTGAATCAGCCCCTCTGCCTTCTGGACACACACAAGAAACAGAACGTTAGGCCCCAGTTCATTCCTTATCCATTAACCTTATGACCACTCCTGCTTGTTTCACTTCAGGGAGAGACCTAAATCCCTTTTACTAGGCGTTGTTTTTTAAACTACAGCTTTTCCCTTTCCAAGAGGTATCAATTGGCCTAGTTTTTTAATAATTTAACTAGTTAAAGCATATTCATTGTTATCAATATAAATAAGATGTGTTTCAAATATAGCAATCTTTAACAGGAAAATAGGTGTAATTCTTCATATTGCATATGTTCTAGCATTATTTATGTTGGAAGAAAATGTTGCTCAGCATGTCACTTTTTGTTTTACAGTTAATTCTATAATCTCCTTTTAAATTTACGTCTGTTCTTCTTTCTTTATTAAACCTGCTGTGATCTCAGTCCTTGAAGATTTGATGTTTTGTACCCGCCTCAGGGAATAGCCTTTTTGACTGCTCAGAGAGCTGACATAAATCTTACATGACTCTGGACTGTGTAACTGGATAACTAAATGGGATGTATAGGGCTTTTGTTTGGTAGACAGCATTACAGGTGAGCACAGTCAATAACTTTTGATATAAAAACTTAGGCCTGAATATCAGTTCAGGAGGAGGAAATGCCATCTGAATGATATTATTTCCTCATGCCAATAAGAAAGCAGCATGAGAGATTCTGGATTGTCTTTGAGGTAAGGGAAACAGCATTAGATGCTGTCCCTAATATAAGTGCACACATTATCTAATAGTCTTATTGATCTCTAGTGGCTATTGCTTGCTCTTAAGATCTTTGAACATCAAACAAATAATAGGTAGTAAAACTAAATGTCATTGTTTAATGAAGTGTCCTAATCTGCTAAATCAGGAAATGGTTAGGCTAAATGATTTTACTAGCAAGGAAACACCTGCCTCCTACAAACAACCTATTGCTTGTTTTCCCAGCAGGCACCAGAGAGTAAAAGATGGTGCTGTTTACTTCAAGAAGTTTATGAGACAGATGTTAAGCATGTATATTCTAAAATGTGCTAGGATTGAAATATCTACTTATAATAATTCTGATGTAACTGCAGTTCAAAATCATTACAAATAGTTAATTCCAGTGTTTAGCAGTTACATAATTCTTTTTAATTAGGTTAAAAATAATTTAAAATTTCCACAGCTTAACATATAACATATCATGTAGTATTTTCCAAGCACTACGGGCATGATTTTCTTTAAGAGGACCTTAAAGAAGGATCTTGAATGAGGCTATAAAAAATGAACTTGTGCACTGTAACTGTAGAAGTCATGCAGCCGAAGGCTCCATGTTTTCCATATTGAGAAACAGAGGTTAGAGTGGTTAGGAGACACAGCGGGGTCATCAACATAAGTGATGTGTGGGTCAGCAGCAGTCAGTGCTCTTATGCTCTGATGTCGGCCATGGAATACCTATTTCCTTACACAGGCAAGTCTGCATATATACATACTCATCCTTATTTATACAAGTACTTGTATAAATTTCTTGATTACTTAAATTCTTGGGTTGTAAGCGAGTAAATATACATTTAAATGTGCTTGTGTCTGCTTAAATTAGTAATTTACCACAAACTCATGTTTGAGAATATATTCTGTATCTTAAACTATCTGGTTTGTATTTTCATTATTTAAATTTATTTGGTATTAACAATGTATATTTGGGAAATGATTGCAAGAAAATCAACTCACATTTTCTCCTTCTGTCCACTTCCTTTAGTAATTGAAAAGGAAAGGTTGACAATAGCATTATGTCTGTCACCCACACCTCTGAAATACAGGCAATAACTAAAAATATAATCCCCAAAGGCCCTTAAACTTACAATACAAATATATTCAAGTGAGAACAAGTGAGCGAGCAAACAAACTCAGGGCACCATTCGCTGACTCTCCTAGTGTGGGTCGTGGGTTGTGCTGGGTGCTGGGCATATAAAAATAAATGAGGAACAGCTTCTAGCTTTAAGGAGCCCTCAGCTCAGAAGTCTGCATTGACAAACATGCATGTGTAACTCAGAGGGAAGCCTCTCGCTCTCCCACCCAAAGAGTCCCACTCCTGCTTTGAAATGGTTCTAATAGTTTTAGAAGCAGTAAATTAGCTCAAGGTGCTTGAGTTAGCATACTGACCAGCTTCAGGAAGTGGCAGCTGAAAATTTGACATAGGTTAAGATTTAATGGAGAGTGATAAAAAGCACTTACAAGAACTCAAAATTCTTAGCAATTGAGGGGCCATTTTCTGAAAGAGCAATTATCCATTATGGGAATTACTGCATTATGGCACGCTGTGATTTTAGGTGTTCTTAATAGCCTTGAGTTTTCAAGAAAATGTGTATAGAGTATTCAGTCTGAGAAGGTAAAAATTTTTAACATATTTGAGCATCTATTATGGTCCCACTATTGTTTTAAGAGCTTTACATGGAGTAACTTATTAACTCATCAGTTTTTTTTATATACTCACTGTCACCGTCCCTGTTTTTCAGAGGATGCCACTGAGCAGTGTTAAGTAACTTGTGAAGGAGTAGGGAGAGAAACCCATGCAGTTTGACTACAAAGCTTGCATTCATAATCACTATGTTATTTTAGGTAGATTTTTCTAGAAAATGGTTAATCTTTTGAAGTTTTCACTTAGAGGGATGAATCTCAGTTTTGCTTTCATGCAGAGAGTTCTGAGCCCCAGGAAAAACCTTAGCAGAAAGTGGAGGGGAACCCCTGGCAGCACAGTGCTCTGAAGATACAGCCCCAGTATGTAAAATACTGTTGACCCCTCTATAACTCTGAGAGCAGCTCCTTGGTAGTCTTCCACGTAATGTATCTTTTCAAGTACCAGAGAAGGAGGTTGTGAGGTGTGAAGAAAAATGCCTCAGCAGAAATCCGCAGGTCCAGCAGGGGTTTTCCTGGGACCTGCATTTCGTCTGCAGCTCCGAGGAGACCACACCAGGAGACATGTAATAGAAGCAAGGTTATGCCCCTGTATTTTTTGTCAAGCACCAAATCTGAATGGATAATATACCGTTTAAGAATGAGTAGGATAAAAGAGCCAAAATGGGGTCAGTGGAAAAATACTGTAGAGAAAAGAAATGACAGCATTATACAGAAGGCTTAGTGAAAGGGGTTTCTTTTGAAAACGTGTAGCTCCAAAAGCAAACATTAAGGAACTTGTAGTAGAATACCAGCAGATATGATAGCTCTGAAAGAGGAGTAGATACTATAATGAAGTAAAAGGATGAAGAGAACATGGATGTAATTGTCATGGCAAGGATTGTAAAGGACCTAAAATCACAACAGCAGATTTAAAAGCCACATAGGAGCTGGTTAGGGTAGAACAGATGTGAAGAATCATATCAGTGATATGGAGGACAAAACATGGTCTTTCAGACCACAAAGGAAAAGGGCGAAGAATAACAACAAAAAATTGAGAAAGGAGATAGATATTAAGGCAGAAAACAGAAAATAAGTATACAATACTTGGTATTCCTGATTGGTGGGGAGCTCAGAATAAATTAACACAAAAATAAAGATGTAAGAAAACGCTTCTAAAGGTCTGTGTTGGCAAACTTAGAAGATTCACCCTGTATCAAAAAAGAGATTAAAATCATTTCAACTGCAGCACAGAGAGAAATGTTATAAGTATCCAGGTCACACCGAGAGGAGAGCAAAAGCCAGATGACTAGTCCTCTTGGTTGCAAATTTAAATGTCATAAAACAGTAGAGTGACATATGCTGTTTTTAGGCTAAATATTATGACTCAGTAATCTTAGACACACACTTTCCTTTGTGTGTGAAAGCAACAGCATGACATTTTTTGATATATAAAACCTTAGAGATACATCTTTTTGAAAACAAAATGATTGGATGATGCACTTCAATTAGCCTAAGGATAAGCAAAAATCAAATCAAAACAAAACAACAAAATTCTCAAAAATAAAAAAGGAGTAGTGGTAAATGCCAAAATTAACTATAATAGAGATCAATTTAAATGTTTATTGTGTACATGATGTAAAACAATGCAAATGTCAGAAAAAACTTGAGAGAAGAGATGTAAAGTTAAAAAACCATGTTAAATAGCTCTCTGGATCAAAATTCCCAGAACACTTAAAAGAAAATTCAAATGGATAGGAGAAGGAGCAGTAAACATGTGCAAAGCTCTTATTTAAAGAGAGAGGGCACAAGCTCGTTTTCACTTGTTGAATATTAGAGAAATATAGGTTAAAAATAATTGTGAAATCTTTATAGTATCATTGATTAAATTAAAAACTGTATCCATCTGTCAATCTATCAGAACATGGAGGAGTTTGGAACAAAAACATTTCAAATAAAAAGGGAACATAAGAAAACAGGAAGCATAAAGAAAAATTATGTAAATAATATTTTAGTGATAGCAATAAACTCAATAATCTCTCCCTTTAAAAGAATAAAATGTATAATTTGGGCCAAAAGCTAAATCAATGATATTTATAACAGACTTAAACTTGATTAACAGAGAAAGATTAGCCAAGTTTGGATAGGCATTGTGGGTATGGAGGGGGTTGGGCAGGTAAGTACGAAGCAGCAGCACCAATCAAAAGTAACTGTTGAGCTATTAGCTGTATTGATACCAGTTTCTCCCACTGACTTTTCTTCCCAACTGTATTCCCTCCACCTTCCACTAAAATAGATGTGCTTCTCTTGGTATTTTCACTTAAGTTGCTGTTTGGATTTCCACTTAAGATTTTATTTCAAGAAAGGATTTTACTGGTATGAAAACCTATATTTGCAAAATGTCCGCATTAGGTCATCTCTGAGTTTAATTTTGGGACTTTAATTCTTTGATTCTATATATTAAAGAGACTAGATCAGTGTTGGAATGGTGATCTGTTGCTTTGTTACTGTATTTATTCCAGTTTAGCCTGCCTACTATGTGCCGCACACTGTAATACACACTAGGGATCCAAGATAAGTAATATAGTTCTTTTAATTGTGAACTTCATAAACTTTTGGACAGTAGATTTTTCTTTCCCCATGTAAAATAAAATAAATATAGTGGCCAAAATTTGCAAGGCAGATTAGTTGCTCCTTCTCTTCCTACTGAAGTAGGGATCTATGAGGTATTTTAATTTTACCATTTAAAATAAGGAGCAGAGGGGTGAATTCTCCTGGAAATCTGCCCTCCCACCACCCTCCTGTTCCTCTCTATTTCTCAGTTTTTCTCACCATGATTGCCCTCATAGCAGCCAGAGAAGGGTTTTGATATTCTCGTGGAAAATTCCTCTTCTCTCTCCTTTCAGTTTACAAGCAGACAGTTGATTTTATGTATTTATTTTACTAAATACCAAGGGGAAACCCTACAAGAGAATTATACCAGGAAAAGGTCAAAGAATATAGGTTTTGGAGTTGTATAGACCTCCATCCAAACTAATATACAGATGCCTGACTGCAGGTATCTTTGGCCAGCACTGAGTAAGTGTTTTAAATGATTTGTGACTATGTGTTGTGTGTGACTTGGTGTGCGTAATTGTGTGCTGCTGTGCGTGTGACCATGTGTGTGTTGTTGGTTTTGCTCTTGATCTTCCTCTCCCACCCCACATACCCGCCGGTGCACATTCACCCTCACATATGTATCTGGTGTCCCCACTCCTTAAGTGACAAAACCTACCAGCAAGGCTCTGCACCCTCAGTTGTCATGTATATGTGGAAGCATGGCTGCTGTTTTACTTCCCCTCCTTTACTTCCAGCTGGACCAGGTTCCTTTGCCATTTTTTTACCCATATAATGTCCCCCTGGGTATGTTTATCTGCATTTGCATTTGAGCAGTTTTCTGTGAGAATTTGTTTTAGTCCTCATTATTCATGCTGCCATTTTCCCAACTCAAAGGATGCCACATTTAGGTAAGAGATATTCTGTTGGGGATATTTCCTCCCAAATGCAGTAAATGGTTTTGCAAATCATTCCCAGTACTAGAATAGAAGACTATTTCATCATAACCTGTTTGTGTTTGGGGAATATAGACACAATTTTTATTGCATTCTCCTGAATCTCATGAGATTCCTTTCCTTTTGGTTAATATGTAATTTTAAAAAAATCCAAAAATGACTGTTCTCTTTTTGAGTTTATTAACATGTCAAAGTTTATTTTATAGGGACTCCACATGCAGGTAGATTCAAACGATTATTCACTTTGACCAGAAAATTGGTATTAAGAGTATGTAGTATTAAAATAATTGTATAGTATATAATAATGGTTAACCAAGTATCAATCTTGAAATATCAAAATATAATTTTATATTAAAAATGAATTTAAGACTACTCTTTCATTGTTTATATTTCTCTTTTGAATAAACTTCACTTGTCTTCTAGTAAATTTTACAAGCCTTTATCATGACAGGTTCATGACTTGCAGAGTGAACTTGATAAAGAGAAAGAAGATGCTCAAAAGAAAATCCATAAATTTGAGGACGCTTTGAAGTGAGTAAAATTATATGTTTAATTGAAAAATACTCTTATTTCTAAACAGTGAGACAAATTAAGTAGCTAGAACCTAAACATCATATACTTATAATAGCCTTGCTATGGTTTACTTTGAGTGGATTTTCCATCATGAGTCTCTATTTTCAGAATTTTATTACTAACCAGTAAATTTTTTTTAAAAAAGGAAAAATCAGTTCAGCTGTTTTTAAGTGATAGGAATGTAAAAAAATAGAACTTAGTGGTTTCAGATGTTTTCTTCCTCTTAAATGAAAACAGATTTTTAAAAAAACAACCCAGATTTAGGTTTTAGAGCATTTAGAAATTCTTCTATAGGTTTTTTGAGAAATATGGGTAATGAGATGTTCCAGTTGTAACATTTGAAAATGGACTATTATACAGGCATTGTTTAGGAAAAGTTTTGTCTCATGATGGGATACTTAAACATACACATTAAAGTATTAGATTTTATTTGTCTTTCCATTCATTTACTAAGTTGATTAGGCCTTACTTATCACTAGGTTTTATGTTGCACATATGAGCTGAGAAAACATTGATTTTTTCAACAAATATTGAGTTCCCACCAAGTGTCAGGCAACGTGTAGTTCCTTCCCACAGGACCTTTAAGTCTGGTTGGGAAGATAGTCAAGAAGTTTGGCAGTTTATACCATAGAGTGATAAGAACTTTAATAGAAGAAAGGTCGGCAGGGTACCTGACCCAAGAAAGTGATTTAAGAAATGAAGTGCATTTAATCTAGCTAACTCCCAGAGAATCAGCTAATTCCATTTTTCTTGCTTCCCAAACCTCCAAACAGAAATAACTTACAAAAAGGCCAAAAAGAACACCCACAATCAAATAAACTTAGTATCAAATTCTGCCTGGGAGATTGCATAACCACTCCCTAGTCTCTGTTTGTTAGTACAATGTTTTGGCTGAGTTGCTGTATAGATCATCTTAATTTATGTACAATGGTATCACAGGATATCAATTTTTTATCTACACAAGGATTTGGTGCTTAAATGTTCACGTATCACCACATATGAATTAGATGCAATCCTAAGAGAGCTATAATATTCATCAAACACTAAGTCATAACTGTATTTTGTACTCCAACTTCAGTAATGACAAAACTAGAGCATTCTTTATTTCTTAATGGATAGGGTGCCCTCCCTTTGTTCCTCATTAATTCATTTTTCTCTCCTTAAAATGTTGTTTACAACTTTCTTCACCTATTTGATTTACCACTTTGTTTCTCTTTTTTTCTACTTGTCTATGTTTTGTAATTTTTTTTTTACTCTTTTCATTGGTTTGTTGGTTTGTATTTTATTTCCCTAAAGGAAGAGATAATCCCTTTTAATAACAGCAAATCAGCAAGTATTTATTTAGTACCGAGAGTTCTGTATATTGTAGTATCATATTAAACTTCTGTCTATTGTAGTATCATGTTAAGGGTTTAGAAGATACAGCTCAAAACAACACTGTTCTTATCCATTTTATAGTCCAGGTTAGACATTGGAAGTACATGGAGTACCAGGCATTAAATTGCTGACAATAAGTGCAACTGAATTCAGAAAGATGTTTTCCAGTGCGAGAGTGGGAGTTTATGTGTAAAACAATGTAGTATCTTTGAATGTTCACTGATAGATTATGAAAGAACACTGAAACGCCCTGTTAATCCCATTCCTCTGACACCAAATGCAGTGGGGTGGTGTCCTTTTTTATACATATGTATAACAATAACAATGTTAAACACAGCAGTAATAGTAGTATAACTCAGTTTGGGTTCCTGGACCCGATTCCAATGTGTGTAAGTATGTGGGAGGGGGTCTTCCCACACATAACACCAAGCAATTCTTGAATACCAGCAAGGTGTCCAAGAACTCAACTCAATTCTGATGCTGTCTGCCTGGAGAGCACCAGATTCCCAGGTTAAGTAAGGGCTCCCGTCCTACAAGACCGCCCTCTACCCCCAACTCCAGAGGCCAGGATGTTACCTCTGCTTCTGACCTAGCAGCTACAGATTGGAGGTTCCCAGGACCTTCCCCCGTTGGTTCCATTAATTTGCTAGAGTGGCTCACAGAACTCAGGAAAACACTTATGTCTACCAGTTTAAAAAAGGACACCGTAAAGGATACAAGTTAAAAGCCAGATGAAGAGAGACACAGGGCAAGGTCCCAAATAAAGGAGCTTCCACTCTTGTCGAGCTTGGGGCCTGGCTCGGTAGCACATGGAGGCGTCTGGTTCCCCAAGCATAGAAGCTCTTCCTGACAGAGAAGCAGGAGCCAGCTGAGCAGAGCACGCAGAGCAGAGAGAGCAGCTCTTCTCAGGGGTTTTTGTGAGGGCTTCATTGCATAGTCATGATTGACTACATTACTGGCCAGTGGACCTTGGGTGGGGATCCAAAAGTCTCTCAATAGCATGACAAAACACCTGTTTCACCTTTAAGACTTCACCTAAGGAACTGTGGATGAAGACCAGATATACCTGGGAAATACATGACCAAATATGTATTTCTTATGAGTCATTATATTGCACCCCCATAGTAGTCTGTATGCAGCATAATCATTTACTGAGCCAAGTAACACTCTTTAAAGCTTTAAAGGTCTTTACCAACATACGAAATTTTACTTGGAATTAAAAAAGCTACTTTAGACTATTTTAGACTCTTATAGCAGGAGTTATCTGGCTTGAAAAAGGCTATCTTAGACAATTTTAGAGAGCCCTGTATACCAGAGCAAGTTATTGTGTGGTCTGAACTTCAAAGTAAACAGCACCCATTGGCTATTTTCCTGAAGGAAAATATTCTGAGGGGCAATTGTTATTGCTTTTGAATCTAAGAATAGTGTAGATGCAGTTGGTCCAGAGATAATTCTTTTTCTAAAGAACAGCTGTATGGTATAGAAATTTGTCTTGATTACTAGCAATTTTTCTTCTGTAATAAATGTATAGAAAGGTGAAAAATATCACCTTTAGAATGTGGTTGTATTCATTTATTTAATCATTCTTTCACTTAGTAAGGGTTTATTTCTTCTGTGCATCTGAATGTATAATAGAGGATATCAGAGAACAGAAATATGTACAGATGAATTAATATGCATATGAATACATGATAATGTGTTCAACTCTGTCTTTGGTTTACAGCTCAAGCAGATACTTCAGATATTTAAGAGGGACACTGATTTGAAGTTAGCATTCACTTTAAATGCCAACTCCATAAAGCTAATTTGCCTATTGTTATTGGTTTTCAGAAATAAAACTAGTTTAATATTATGGCCCTACTTACCACTTTTTACAGTTTTTATTCTGTACATATCCTAAACATTTTTTGCTTCCTATTTCATGGTTATTATAGAAAAAATTTTTAATAATTTCCCCAAACTGAAAGTTATCTGAAACTATAACTGTAAATAGTATGTATTTTATTTGTTCATTTTCCATTTTTTAAAAATAAGTAAAGTATATGGAAAACTTAGTAGACTAATGAATGGGAAAAGACCATATATAACAACATAATTTGGTATAAGTCTTTGAAGGACTAACATTGAAAAAGTATATATCCTTTTGGAGGAGTTAAAATCTATAAACAACATATGTAAATAGTACAGATACAGTTTTTTCTTTTTCAATATTCATATGTTTACCAAATTTGATTTCTAAGTTTTTGGTGCTCTAAAAATAGTAAAACATTGTTCTGGGATATTGTATAATTTATCTATTTTAAACTATTCTGTGAAACATTATAGAGTCATCTTTTTGATTGGTACTTTTTTCAAACTCTTCTTTTGCAGTAAAATACAAAACTACCTTGAAACACATTTATTTTTTTGCATTGTCAAACTGTAAACACTATAAATATTTCTACCCTGATGCTAATATACATAAGCTCTCTGTTTTTCAGTTGGTGCTGAAAATATGTAGTGGTGATTTCACTAGAACATAATACAATACTGTTCTTTAGATGATATGGTTATAAACGTCACTATAGGAAGCAAGCCTTTATTTAACTTAAACATATTACTTTGGTTGTAGTTGCTATACATACATACATACATAAATGTGACTGTATGTGAATGTATATACCACAAATAAAAGTTCTACTGGGTTTTAAAAAAAATGCAGAGAGAGAAAGCAAATTCAAATCTGGGCAATAACCTTTCAGGCTAGAGGGCTCTTGACATTACTGAAACAAATTAATCATGCATTTTTGTTAAAAAGAGGCATCTTGTGAAAATTGGATATTTCATTAGTCTTCCTTTTAATCATTGTCTTGAATTTTTGCCACAATTACTTTATAATCCATAAACTTATGTTTAGCTGACTTTTTGCAAATGTATATAATATATAAATTTAGATATATTAGATACTTGATTTTACATATATATACACACACACACATATATATATA